CTGGCACCCATCAAAGGAACCCTATATACGTAGAAACAGTACCTCACTCTACCCAACCAATCTCCTATACACGAGAATCTGCCGAGAAGGGCCTGCTCATTAAAAACAGGGTTGAAGAAGCTGACAAGCTGAGTTCAGGGTGTTGAAGACGACAGAGGAATAGAAGGTTTAAACTTTGAAGACCTATGCATACAGCTAGATGTAGAACTACCGGAAGGATACAAACCTCCCAAGTTCAAGATGTTTGACGGCACAGGTGATCCTAGGTTCATCTGAGGACCAATTGTGACAAGCTTGTCTGGGTCAGGAAAGATAAAAAGATCCAAATGAAGCTGTTTATGAGGAGTCTTATTGGAGATGCTTTGTCCTGGAACATCAGCCAGGATCCCAAGAAATGGTCCAATTGCGTGGGTATGGCGTCGGATTTCATGGACCGGTTCAGGTTCAATACAGAAAATGTACCAGATGTTTTCTACATCCAGAATCTTAAGAAGAAACCCACCGAAACCTTCCGCGTGTATGCTACTCGTTGGAGGTCGGAAGCGGCCAAAGTCAGGCCATCTTTAGACGAGGAACAGATGAACAAATTCTTCGTTAGAACACATGATCCACAATATTAGTTGATGGTTATCGAAAACCATAAATTCTCTGATATCATCAAACTTGGAGAAAGAATCGAAGAAGGAATCAAGAGTGGGATGGTAACGAATTTTGATGCACGACAGGCCACAAATAAGTCATTACCATCAGGCAGCATATAAAAGAAGAGAGATGTTGGGGCAGCAATGGTGGCTCATGGCCCGAAATCTCCACTTACCTATAAAGCACCTCCACCCACATATCAAACACCTCCACCCACATACCAAGCATCACCGCCTACATATCAACCCTCATCTCCTAGATATTCCCAACCAGCCACTGTCCATCACACTTATAACTCTCAACCGGCCCATTTCTAGTCACCTCCAGCTCGCCAAAACTTTCCAAGACCAAGAACCAATTTCGACCAACGCCACCCAGACAATACACAACCATTGCTGAACCCATCGACCAACTGTATGAAAGGTTGAAAGCCGCTGGTTATGTCACCCCCATTCCTGCTGTGGCATTGGAAAATCCATCCCAATGGGTCAATCCAAACAAAACTTGTGTGTACCATTCTGGTATGAAGGGGCACACCACTGATGAGTGCCGAACATTGAAGGACAAGATCCGGACGCTAATCGACAATAAGGTCATACATTCCAAGGGAGCCGCACCTAATGTCCGCAACAACCCCCACCCTGATCATAGAGATGGTGGAGTACATGTGATAGAGGCGAACAAAGAATGGGACCCTGCGGGGTCGATTGGACTTATTCGAGAAGGAGAAGACTTTGAAGTTCCAGTCACACTTACGCCTATCGTGGTACAGATTGAGTCACCAATCGAGGTCGAGGTAACTGCACCGGTTCCATGTGAGGTAGAGGTAGCTCCACCTGCGGCCACCCCTGCTCCATTTGAGGTAGAAGTGGTCACACCTTTCACTGTGACAGTGTCAACCACACATCCTTTTGATTCAAAAGCAATACCCTGGGATTATGTTGCCGAAGCTCAGCGAAAAGGGGAGGCAAAGATATAGGAATTCGATGCTGCAGAAGGGATGACTAGGACTGGAAGAGTCTGTACACCTGAACATTTAGGAAGACCAAGTAAGGATGCCACTACCAAGCAGCTTGTCATTGAAACAGGGCCAGATGAACTGTGGAGGAAAGTACAAGCAAATGAGTATTCCGTTATTGACCATTTGAACAAAACCCCAGATCAGATATCCATCATTTCACTGCTGCATAATTCAGAGGCACATAAGAATGCCTTAATGAATGTGTTGAGCGAGGCTTATGTACCCAATAACATCACTGGTGGAGAAATGGCCAACATGGTGGGGCAAGTACTGGAAAGTCATAAGATTATCTTCCACGAAGATGAGCTACCACCTGAGGGGTTGAATCACAATCGAGCATTGGATATTACAGTGCAATTTGAAAACAAATTCATTGTCAGGTGATGTGTCGGAGAATTTCGGCACATTTCAATACAAATTGCTTAGGTTTTAGCTTGTTTTGAATGCAACTATCTCGTACACTTATGTAATTTTAGTGTTTTTGCAGTACATGAGGTTCAAGGACCTAATAGCATGTAAATGAAAGAAAAAAGCCACAAAAAGACAAGAAAAGAGCAAAATGCAGCACAAATGTAGAAATGCGGTCCAAGATGCGATCGCAAATCCCACATGCGAGTCGCATAATGCGCATAACATCGCAAACCACAACAGAATGTTTGCCAAAGTCCAGTGCAAGAAATACGGTCTAGAATGCGATCGCATAATAGGTTTGCGGACCGCATAGTGGACCGTAAACTCATAGAGAAAAGTCTGATGGTGGAAAATGCGATGCGAAACGTGATCGCATAACTGGAATGCGGACCGCAAATCAACAATGCGAAGACGACCTAGAAACTAGGATTTTGAAATGCGATGGGCATGAGGAGAATGCGTACCGCATGTCTGTTATGCGACAGATATGCGGGCGCATATTTAATCTGAAAGGCAATTTTGTCCGATTTTTGTTCCGAATTTTGGCCCTCTATAAATAGATTTATGGGGTTTTGTGGGCTCATCTTGTCTAACTTTGGAGCTACAATACAAGGCATTAATATTCCTCTCTTTTGGAAGCTTTTGGGGTCAAGAATCTTTCACTTGTAAGCTTTATGGCATTTAATATTCTCTTATTTTTGTATTTTAGTATAAGTAGCTAACTTTAAATACTAAGGTTGTGGACCCTAAATGGGTGTTATGTTAATGGGTGTTTAACATTGAATATATATATATATATATATATATATATATATATATATATATATATATATATATATAATGGTTGGTTGTTATTTATTTACTTCTCATTCTTCATTTATAGTTGGTGGTTGCAAACATTACCAAGTGCCATTAAATTCTTGCTTTGCTTGGGAAAGTGGGAATTTGGTAGAAGTAAATATCAAAGACTCAAGGCTTTAAACCTTGTTTAACAGAATCGCTTAAGAACAAGTGTGTTTTATTTGGCATATATTGATTGTTCGTAATTATAACTCTTTTATATTTGGGAAAATCATAAAGAGGAAATACTACCCAACTATTGGAAAATATTGGATAGTCATTTAGACATCATTTGCATATCAGAAGGACCTTCCATTAGAAATATATCATATTAACACCGATAGCATTGATTTTCATTAAAGGGGACACAACCTTGGTTTCTTTAATCAAATTATTTACATTCTCAACATTACAATTAGCTATTACTTCAAACCAAAATCAATTCATACTCTTGTTACCATTGATTCATACTTTTGTTACCGTTAACCAAATAGAATTACGACTTTAGTCAAGTAACACGCTAATTGAGTAACCTTTTCACACATATTCCCTGTGGGATTCGACCCCAACCTTGTCGCGTTATTATATTTGACATCGACCGCCTTACATATTTAATTAAAGGATAATTTTAGTGTATCAAATTTTGGCGCCGTTGTCGGGGAATACGGTTTTGAAGTTATTAATTAGTGTGTGCTTTACTTTACGTCTTATTCTATTCCATCACACTTTTCTTGTTTTGCTTGATGTTGATAGGAAAACATGGCCGAATATGATGAAGACATAGAGGCAGAAATGGAAGAAAATCCTTTTGCGGACATCGAGGAGTACATTGAGGATACAAATGCTATTGTACCTCCGGCCGTTGGAGCTGCAACTTTCATGGTGGAACACGGTTTAATCCTTATGCTCAAAGCGGAGGGGTTTTCTGGAATTCCATTGATGATGATCCAACACAACATCTTAGAAACTTCTTGGGTGTGTGTGCGATGCATAAGCAGGACAATGTCTCTGATGATGCCCTAAGGTTGCGATGCTTCAAGTACTCACTAGCTGGGGATGCAAGGAAATGGCTTCAAAATCTGCCACCAAACTCCATCATTATTGGACCGAACTTGTCCGTGCATTCTTAGCCAAATGGTTCCTGCAAAGTAAGAAGTATGAGCTCCGGGATAAAATCTTCTTTTTCAACCAAGTACCGGGAGAACATTTACATGAGGTATGGGATCGTTTCAAATTATGTTTGGTGAGGTCTCCCAACCATGGTTTTTCAGATTCTATCTTGTTAGAAAAATTCTACATTGGCATGGATCCTATGAACCAATATATAGCCAAGAATGTAGCTGACGGATCTTTCATTGACAAATCATTCGCAAGGGTGACACAAATCCTTGACAAATTGGCAAAGAATAACCAAGCAAGGCACTCCGAGGACACCACAGGTGGAATTACATATGGGTCTCCTTCCTTGAGCAACATGATCAAGGAAAATCAAGAGAGAGATCAAGTGATTGCATGGCTTGCTACAAATGTCAATGTGTTGACAAAGATGTTCACTGAAAGCCAAACGAAGAAGGTAAATGCGGTGGAAGATTTGCAACCCATATCAAATGAGGATTTTGAGTAAGCAAATTATGTCAACAGCTCTCAAGGAGGATATCAATAGAAACAATACCAAGGTCAAGGACAACAAAATTAATGGAGGCCTAACCCGCAAGGCCTAGGTAACCAATAGTGGCGAAATGACCAAGGTAGCTCACATCAAGGAAATTGGAACAACAGCAACAACTTCGCAAATCGGAGCTCAAATCCTTATGTTCCCCCAAAGGGTCAATATTAACATCAAGGTTCCTCAAGTGATTCCAAGTTAGAAAGCATGCTTGAATGGGTATTGCAAAATCAAGAAAAGTCCGACACTTCCATGAGGAATATGACCGAGCTGGTTGGTTCTCATACCGCATCCATCTAAAAATTGGAGATGCATATGAGAGATCTTTCTAGGGAACAGAACCCAAAGCAAAAAGGGACACTTCTAAGTGACACAATTGCGAACCCAATGGGTGGTTGAAGTGTCCCAACTTCTCACATCATGGAAATTACTACTCGGAGTGGGAAGGTACTACAAGGAGAAATTGAGCAAGCGATTGAAGTGGAAGAGTCCAAACAAGAGGTTGAGGTTGAAGAGCCAATGGCTGTTGAAGTTGAAAAGGTTCCGGAAGAAGTGAAAGTGCAAGAAGTGAATCGGGAAGAGGTAAAGGCAAAGGTGAAAGAGACACCAAAAGCTCCACCTCTTATTCCTAGACCTCCTCCTCCTTTTCCTCAAAGACTTGTGAGAAGGGTTGATGATAGCAAACTCGAGAAGTTCTATGACATTCTCAAGCAATTATTGGGAAACATTACATTCTTGGAAGCTTTTCAAGAGATGCCGGGTTTTGCCAAATATTTGAAAGATTTGATCACCAAGAAGAGGACCACCAAGAATGAGGTGGTGAACATGACTGGCCGGGTTAGTTCCATTATTGCCACAACCACCGTTCAAAAGAAAGAAGACCCGGGAGCTTTTACTATTCCATGCACTATCGGGGCGCGTGATTTTGCAAGAGCCCTTTGTGATAATGGGGCTAACATTAACTCAATGCCGCTTGCCATTTACAAGTAAGTGGGGTTAGGGATGCCAAGGCCCACAAGTATAAGGTTGCAAATGGCCGATCGTTCCATAAAGAGACCGGTGGGAATTGTTGATGATGTGATTGTAAAAGTGGGGGAGTTTCATTTACCCGCCAATTTTGTGATCCTTGATTGTGCGGTTGACAAAGAGATCCCTATCATTTTGGGGAGACCATTCCTAGCCACGGGAAGAGCACTAATGGATTCGGAACGGAATGAAATCAAATTCCGTGTGAATGATGAAGAGGTGACATTCCAAGCAAGCAAGGTCATGAAACTACCACATGAATATGAAAGCATCTCGGTGATTGATGTTGTTGATGAGGTGGAAGATGCGATCGAAATGAAAATGGAAGAACAATGCCTCGGTGAGGCGTTGGCGGCTATTTTTGTGAACTTTGATGGTGAAGATATAGATGGGTACATGGTGTCGGTCAATGCATTGGAGGGGATTGGATCCTACACTTATGCTCCTGCTATGCTCTCTCTCGACTTGGAGAATAGGTCCACACCTCCCGCAAAGCCATCTATTATTGAGCCACCACAGCTAGAGCTCAAACCACTTCCATCGCACTTGAGGTTCAAATTTCTTTGCTCAAATGGTACTTTACCGTAATCTTTCTTTTTTGTTGAATGATGTGCAGGTAGACCAATTATTGGAAGTCTTGAAGGAGCATAGGAAAGCCGTTGGATGGACAATTGCGGACATCCGACGGATTCCCGTAGGAATTTGTGAACACAAGATCCAATTGGAGAGCGAGACGAACCACGTGTGGAACATCAACGACAGTTGAACCTATCAATGCAAGATGTGGTGAAGAAAGAAATCATCAAGTGGTTGGATGTCGGGGTAGTCTACCCCATTGTCGATAGTTCTTGGGTGAGTCCGGTGCAATGTGTGACGGAAAAGGGAGGCGTGACCGTGATTAAAAATGACAAAAATAAGCTCATCCCTACAAGAACGGTGACCGGATGGAGGGTATGCATAGATTATCGGAAGCTTAACAATGCCACATGCAAAGACCATTTCTCTATGCCTTTTATTGATCAAATGCTTGATCGGCTAGAAGGAAGGTCATTCTATTGCTTCCTTGATGGATATTCCGTCTACAACCAAATCAACATATCATTGGAGGATCAAGAGAAAACGACTTTCACATGCCTGTATGGAACTTTTGCCTTTAGCCGGATGCCATTTGGTTTGTGCAATGCTCCGGCTACTTTTCAATGATGCATGATATCCATTTTCTCTGATATGGTGGAGGACTTTCTAGAAGTCTTCATGGACGACTTCTCGGTGGCAGGTGATTCTTTTGAGCATTGTCTTAACAATCTTAGACAAGTGCTTAAGAGATGTGATGAGACCAACCTTGTGCTCAATTGGGAGAAATTTCACTTCATGGTGGATGAAGGCATTGTGTTGGGGCATAAAATTTCAAAGCATGGCATAGAGGTCAACCGGGCAAAGATCGAGATTATTTCTTAGCTTCCTCCACCTACTTCCGTTAAAGTTATTCGAAGTTTCTTGGGCCATGCCGGGTTCTACAGGAGCTTCATCAATGATTTTTCCAAGATTGCAAATCCTATGTGCAAACTCCTCGAGAAAGATGCCAAATTTGTGTTTGATGAGAAATGCCTCAAAGCCTTTGAGGAATTGAAGCAAAGGCTCACCACGGCACCTATTATTGTCACACCCGGTTGGTCTGTTCCTTTCGAGCTCATGTGTGACGCCAGTGGTGTAGCTATTGGAGAAATGCTTGGCCAACATCACAACAAAGTTCTCCACCTGTATATTATGCAAGCAAGACACTCAATGGGGCGCAAATGAATTACATGGTAACTGAGCAAGAACTTCTTTCCATTGTCTATGCCTTTGAGAAGTTCTAGGCTTATTTGTTGGGATCCAAGGTGATAGTGTACACAGATCATGGAGCTCTTCGCTATCTCTTGGAAAAGAAGGATGCAAAGCCTCGGTTGATTCAATGGGTCTTGTTGTTGCAAGAATTTGACTTCGAGGTCAAGGATAGCAAGGGAACTCAAAATAAAGTGGAGGATCATTTATCAAGGCTTGAGGAGGCATGGGGACCAAAGGGAGATCATGAAATCAATGATGCATTCTCGGATAAACACATATTGGTACTATCTAGCACTTTTGCTCCTTGGTATGCCGATATTGCTAACTATTTAGTTAGTGACCTTATTCCGGCCGGGTTGAAATCCTATCAAAAGAAGAAGTTTTTGAGAGACTGCCGGCAATACTATTGGGAGGAACGATTCTTGTTCCGTGTTTATGATGACAATATTATCAGAAGGTGTGTTCCGGAAGAAGATATTATGCCAATTCTAAAGGCATGCCACGACTCACCGGTTAGGGGTCATCATGGAGGAAATCGAACGGCGGCTAAGGTGCTTGAATGTGGTTATTATTGGCCGTCAATCTATCAAGATTCCAATCAAATGATCAAGGCTTGTGACCAATGCCAAAGGCAAGGATCAATCTCCAAGAGGCATGAAATGCCAATGCACTTTGTGATGGAGATAGAAATCTTTGACGTGTGGGGAATTGACTTCATGGGTCCCTTTGTAAGCTCTTGTGGGATGAAATATATCTTGCTATCTGTCACGCCCCAAAACAGAGGGGCGCGACCGGCGCTCGACTGGGTAGCCCAGTCAAGGGAACCTGGGTGCCTTTCCTATCCCACGTGTTACCCCGTGATTTCAATACTCATTATTCAAGTGAAACATCCATTTATGATTAAACACATTCTTACGAGTCATAATAACATACATGCTCACTTTACCTGATCTACAAGTTATACTGCCCAAAATACATAAGTACATAACCCACGTTTTCCTGTCTACGGAGCCTCTAAGTATACAAAAGAGTGTTACAATACTTGCCGGTAACAAGGCTCCGGTTAAACCTTACACAAATATCAAAATAAGGCTCTGGGAGGAAAAGCGGCATGAGCCACGCAGGGCCCCGAGAGGAAAGGGGCTCACCAATACAGCTGACGGAAAGTGGAGGAGGTGCTATTGTCGGTGGACTGGAGTACCTGCTATAGAACCACCTACAATCATAACAAGAATGTAGCGCCCCCGGCAAAAGGGACGTCGGTACATTTGAATTGTACTGGTATGTATGGACAAACTTTATCCCAAGTAAAATCAATCAATATATAGATAACGAACAGTAATAGTATCAACAATCAATGCACATGAAAGGAACAACCAAGGCCAAACAAGTTTCACAATCTCTCTTTTTCCCCTTTCAACATCATTTAATCATATCAATGATTTCACAAACTTTCATTTCGATAGTGATAATGATCACATTCCATCCTTATTACCTCGGCCACCCTTATCACCCCAACCCACAATTTATCATTTTGTGTTGCGGCGCGCAACCCAATCCCACCGGACAATCACATTTCACACAACAACAATAGTTCACAGTTCAATCACATGGGTTCAAGCCATCCAGAATATCATTTCACAACAACAATAACAATTGAGAAAGAGTTTTCATTGACATCAGTACATAACAATTGAGAAAGAGTTTTCATTGACATCAGTACCATTTTCATCATATATACAACATCCCTTACCACATAAACATATTCACACACACACTTGGTTTGTTGCCATTTATTTATACCATCATATCGGGACGTTTAACCAACAATGATCAAGGCATATTTATCACAAGAATTCATGAAATAGGCCATCTTGCCTTAACACCCGTGAAACAACCAAAATTCATAAATAGTCCACATAAGTAACACATACCAATTACTCGTACACCAAACAGGGTGACTTTAAAAAGGTTAAAGTTAGCCATACATACCTCAATTTCGCCCCTTAATGATACTACAATGATCCAATACACTTACGCAACTTCAATCTACAATACAACATTCAATGGGACCAATATTAGTAACAAATTCCATAACTTATGCCATTTAGGCATATTATCAAACACCTTGTAGGTATAAATCTTTTCATTTCATAACCATAGTATTAGTTCATCCATCTATCACCATTAACTAACAATTTATTCCACCATCATTCCTAACCAATTTATAACTTCCAACAACATATGTATGATCATCCATTCATACCCAACCAACAATTCATATCAAATAATCACCCTTTCAATCTCTACAATAATTATGTATTTATATTGGGAACTTATGGCTTCCCATCACTACACCAAGAGTTCCAACACTTAATTCATACTCATATTCCGGTAATATGTCTATATATGTAAGTCTAAGGGTAAAAGATTACCTCTTGTAGACCAAATATTGAAAGACAACTTTTGGGATGTTCTTGAGATTTTGAAGAAATCCTATGAAATCCAATCAAAACCATGTTTTAACTAGTGATTGAGAGGTGAAATCACCATGAAAACAGACTTAAAAACTCACCTTAGGTGTATGATTGGATACCTTGGTCGGATTGGGGATGGAGAGGAGCTAGAGAAATGACTTAAATACTCTCATTTCCCGTCCTTAGGTGTATTTTGAGGTCTGATACTAGTGCGCCCGTGCTAAGGCCGCGCTAAGGAGGCAGAATACTTCCCAATATGCGCGGCCGCGCATATGACACATGTACAGTAAAATGGTCATAACATTCTGTGTACACCTCGAATTGACAAACGGTTTGATGCGTTGGAAATTAGACTCAAAAAGCTTTAATTTGATAGGTTGTGTATCCCACAACTACTTAAATACACATAGATATTCTCGTCCAAAGTGAGGTCTTATGCGTATTCATTTGAAATCTTAGCCTATTATGAAATTTTCTAACTTGGCTTAGACTTACGCTTCCCTTTGGACCTCACATCACTTATTACATGACTCATACACTTATTCACCACATCAAATTCATTTGCATCATATTTAAAGCACATAAAATATTACAATTAGTCTACCTGGCACCCCGAAATCCTATATCGCCTAGAAACTTTTTCTGGGGCCTTACAGATTC